TATCAAACCAGACTATCCTTGTGAGCAGAGACGGACCCAGCACCCGGCCAGGGGGGGCAGTCGCCTGTGCTGGGCTCCGCCGGAGCGCCTCCAGTGCCGTGGTTTTGCCTCTGCCCTCTGGTTCGTCTTCTCCAGGTTTTAATTTTTTTTTTTTCTGTTTTCAAGTGGGCTAAGGACTGGCCTGTTGCCGTCATTTTTTTTAAAAAATTTGTTTTGACATTGGGCTCAAGAATCCAGCCCATACATTAGTTTGTTTTGAGATTGGGCCAAAGCGGCCCATTCCTCTTTTTTTTTTTTTAATTGTATTGGATTGGGCCATTTTTCTTGGCCCAATCCTTAATATATACATAACATAAGCCTTAGCCTACAATACATAATCGAAAGAGATTTTGAAATCAATCCTTAAGCTAATTCCCAAATCCCAAATTCTCTCATCTCTTAACTCCCCCGACCGAGTACTGACCAATCAACCGATTCAGCCCAACGTGACCGTCCTTGACCGTCGCAACTCGCAAAGCGGCAACGTCTCCGACAGGAGGCAGCGACTCAGGTAGCGAGGCAGCCGATTTTGTGAAACCCGAGGGCCGAAACCGTAAGTTCTACTGTTTATCATGAATTTTAATTTTTAACTGCAAATTGAAATTGTAAAATGAAATGCATAAATTTGGTGTTTGTGAGTTTGTCTAATTTGGTGTTTGTGAATTGTGAGTTGTGAGTTTGTTATAAATTTAGTGTTTGTGAATTGTGAGTTTATTTGTTAAAACTTAAAAAGTGTTGTAAATGACTGCATTGTGTGTTTTCAAGAACTTAAAGTGAATTGTGATGCTCTCGATTTTGAAGTTGATCAGGCAAAATCCATCAAGAAAAAGCACTGTGTTTAGGCAAAAAAATATGAATTAATATGTAGATGACTGCATTGACTGGATGTAATCATTCTAAGAAGAATTACATAAAAAATGAGAATGTCAATATGTGGATGACTGGATGTGATGGTGAATTGGTGATTGAGGTTGAGGTTGAGGATAATTGCAACGTTTTCAAAATATGAGATCACGTCGAATGCAGTTGTCTAAGGTCACAGTTACAGAGTAGGTTGTATTGCATATTGTTTTTTGTATTTTAGATTGTATTGAATTATGTTTTCATATATATTATATATATAATTTTTACGTTTTAGTGCGTTTTAATATTATGTAATTAAATATTAAAAAATGACTTCGTTCTTAGGATCGCTCATTGTCGACGTTGATCGGTCGGCGTTGACCGGTCAACGTCCGCCCGGGCTGGGATTGGGGGCTGGGTCCGTCCCTGCCTGTCTCCTTGCCGAAGCCGAAACCATTACCGTC